ATATATAACTCCCCGACGGAAAGAGTAAATCTGTGTGGAATGCATGGAACAGTGTCGCTAAATTATATAAAAACATGATAAGCAAGATTACATGGCAAAAGTATAATATTTAATATTTAATGTAAAAAATTACGGACATTTGTTTGGAGTACTCCCTCAAGTTGGGTCCGGGGAAGGGGGCTTTCGAATTAGGACCCTACCCTAGCTACGCCACTGCAGCTGCTGTTCAATCTGAAAATAATGTCTCTGTCGATTTTGAAATTTAAACAGTTCGGAAGTCCAGCGACTTATGTCCTAGAGTTAATTATTATTGAGCTTCTATCAAGGCTCTCCGTCAGTCTGTCTGTCTGGTTAAAATCTTTACACGATGTTTCTCCTACTTCCCATTCTGGCTCAAGTGGAAATTGTACACATCCATTCATTGTCAATGACAACACATTAATCAATTAGAAAAAAACTAAATAATTAAAATAACCATTATCCTTTATTAATTAAGTTTAATTTATATGGAAATATAGGCCTACTAAATCGGCTACGGGCGACCCGTGACAATGATCATAACAATGTAGAACATTGGATCGTTCGTTAAAAAATAAAGTTAAAACCAACAATAGACATATTAAATCTTCTGTTTTTTAGAAGTACTGGATAAGTTCAGTTGCAAAACATGTCGGCCCTCCATCATAGAGTTTCGAGTTCCAATTTAGACTAAGCAACTTATTCTTTTTTTTTCCTCACTTATATCAAAGCGTGAATGGTATTCTTGTCAATATGCAAGATCCATATAAATCGCAAATACAAAGCTAGGGATCTATCGAGCCGTCATCCTCCCTACATTGCTCTATACCTCAGAAACGTGGACAGTGTACTGAAAACATGTAAAAAAAAAACTGAACCACTTCCACATGACATGTCTAAGAAAAATACTGAATGTCAAATGGCAAGACAAAATACCAGATACTGAAGTCCTTCGAAGAGCGTGTCTGCAATCCATACAACCCTGATGCAGTCTCAGCTGCGATGGGCAGGACATGTCTGCAGAATGGAAGACCACCGCATCCCTAAACGACTCTTGTATTGCCAACTAAGCGAACGAAAGCGCTCGCAAGGTGGTCAAAGAAAGCGCTTCAGAGACACCCTCATAGCTTCTCTTAAGGCGTTCAGCATAGACCCAGCCACCTGGGAGACAGAGGCACATGACAGAGCATCATGGCGTCGCGCTGTGAAAACTGGCGCACAGGTTGCTGAGGAAAAGAGAACCCCGCTGGCAGAAGGAAAAGAGAAGAAAAGCGACACTAGCTCCAGCTGGAATAACCTGCCCAGTGTGCAGCCGAACATTCCGGGCTCACAAAGGTCTCACCAGCCACACGAGGAGGCATAAAACCCCAGTGCAAAACCCTCAGAGCCCTAGATGACAAAGTGGTCATCATCGAAACACGATGGACGAACTATATATATATAAATCGCAAGACCAGGAGAGTATCAGAAAGCCTTAAAACTTAAATATACACTGTAACACAATAAAACCTTTTTTTTTTACCAAACAATTTTTATTTTACACTTTTTTTTACAAAGCTTATATCAACTCACTCTGTCTGTCTGTCTGGTAAATAGTGTGTACACTTTATTTCTCCCTCACCCAATCTCGGTTCAAGCATAAATTTTGCATAAATTTCGCACAATTATTTAATAAAATAGACAAGACAAGAATCAATAAAAAAAAAAAAAGTAACCAATTAGTAGACAACTAATTACTGGTAATTCATTATTTTGTAACAAGGGAAACTAATACTTCAGTATTCACATATATGGCTAAATTTGTTGGGTTTAGTCCCCTTAAATAATTCTTATTTCTCCGATCAAGTTGATACCTTAAATAATTATTTATTGTACCTAACAAGACATGAATCAATAAACTAAAATACTCAATTAATTAATAAATTATTGGTAATTAATTATTTTGTTTGTACATTATTGGTATATATAGTTTTAAGGACGAGTTCTTCCTCTTTAGATAAGCTTTGTTGTTGTTTTTTTAAAGAATGTTTTATCCTTTGCTTGTTGCATTTCATTCATGGGCGACCATTAAAAGTAGTTTTTTGTTTAATCTACAGGGTCAATCGGAGGTCAGATTGGCCTGTTCATGGGTTTCAGCCTGGTGACAGTCGCTGAAATGCTAGAACTCATCTTCCTCCTGGCCACAAGAGGCAGGAAACTAGACGAACGCGTGAAACGTCACAAGGAAACCCAGGACGCTGTCCAGGCTGCCATGCAGGCTAATGCCTAAACTTGACCATTTCATCTGTCAATAGCCCAAACCAAACGTCCGCGGGACATTTTTTTTTCTTTCTGAACTTTTAAAATATGCTACTGTGTCTTTTTTTCCAATCATGTTGTTCTACATTAACGTAATGAAGAAATCTCGAGAAAGTTTGCTGGATAACAAGTTACATGTATGCATATTCAAGTGAAAAGAAAATCTGATCCAGCTTTTAAAAACATATGTACCCATTTACTTCTGGTGAAGAGAAAATTGTATATTACTTTATTTCTTTATTAAAGCGAGTAAACAATGAATATTTCATAATTGAATCATTATGCTGCAGGCCCCAGAACTAAACGAGTTTTAAGAGTAGCTTTGCATGGTACTTAGAACAGATTGCGTTATTGTTGCAGATCTCGTAACAATTCATTCACCTTCACCTATCCCTTAGTTGGACCGTTGGGGCACCACACAAAGTTTGTCTACCGTCTTTCTCCATTCCTCTCTGACTTTTGCCTTGGATAGATCCTTTTTCAATGGCAGGCCCGTCCATTCTTTTATGTTGTCTTCCCATCGCTTTCTCTGTCTGCCTCTTCTTCTTTTTTCCTTGTACTGTTCCCTGAAGGAATGTTTTTGCCCCGACATTTGTAATATGGTCATAGAGTTTTGGTTTGCGTTTTGTTTTTATAGTAGTTAGCAGGTCATCGTAGGGTTCAATCACTGTAATAACCCTGTCTCTAATCTCTCCGTTTGTGATGAGGTCTTTGTTTGTGATACCTAGGATCTTTCTGTAGCATCTCAATTCCATTGCTAGGATCCTCCTCTCTAGCTTTACAGTCAGCGTCCAAGACTCGAAAGCTTATAAGAATGTGGCCATGACCATGGAGCGCTTCAGCTTATTAAGACTGATAAACCATGGACATTTAAGAAAAATAGTTAGAATTGGTCTTCGGGTCTTTAACAAGATGGATTTAGACGTTGACTTCTATAAAAATAAAGATTAAAAGACAAGAGACCATCGTCCCATTAGTCCAATGAACGTAGTTTAAATATTCAACCAGTTTGATGAAGTATGTCATTGTAACTTTCACTCCTTTCTCGTGAATGTATCTAACTCGTGTCTAAAATACAACAATGGTTAGCTAGTAATCGAAGTCAGTTAAATCTTGTTTGCGTTAAGCCAAGTACAGCATTCAACAGATATACACTTTCATTAAACACTGTATTTACCAAATAGATATCCAAATAGATATTCACATAAATATCCAAATAGATATCCAAATAGATACCCAGATAGATATCCAAATAGATATCCAAAAAGATATCCAAATAGATATCCAAATAGATATCCAAAAAGATATCCAAGTAGATATCCAAATAAATATCCAAATAGATATCCAAATATATATCCAAATAAACATCAAAAAATGATATCCAAGTATATATCCAAATAAATACACAAATAGATATCCAAATAAATATCCAAAAAGATAACCAAGAAGATATCCAAATAAATATCCAAATAGATATCCACATAGATATCCAAGTAAATATCCAAATAGATATCCAAATAGATATCCAAATAAATATCCAAAAAGATATCCAAGTAGATATCCAAATTAATATCCAAATAGATATCCAAATAAATATCCAAAAAGATAGCCAAGAAGATATCCAAATAAATATCCAAATAGATATCCACATAGATATCCAAATAAATATCCAAATAGATATCCAAATAGATATCCAAATAGATATCCAAATAGATATCCAAATAGATATCCAAATAAATATCAAAAAAAGATATCCAAGTAGATATCCAAATGAATATCCAAGTAGATATCCAAATGAATATCCAAATAGATATCCAAATAGATATCCAAATAGATATCCAAATAGATATCCAAATAGATATCCAAATAAATATCAAAAAAAGATATCCAAGTAGATATCCAAATAAATATCCAAATAGATATCCCAATAGATATCCAAATAAATATAAAAAAAAAAGATATCCAAGTAGATATCCAAATAAATATATCCAAGTAGATATCCAAATAAATATCCAAAAAAATATCCAAATAAATATCCAAATAGATATCCAAATAAATATCCAAATAGATATCCAAATAAATATTCAAATAAATATCTAAATAGATATCCAAATAAATATCCAAATAGATATCCAAATAAATATCCAAATAAATATCCAAATAAATATCCAAATAAATATTCAAATAAATATTCAAATAAATATCCAAATAGATATCCAAATAGATATCCAAATAAATATCCAAATAAATATCCAAATAAATATCCTAATAAATATCCAAATAAATATCCTAATAAATATCCAAATAGATATCCTAATAAATATCCAAATAGATATCCAAATAGATATCCAAATAAATATCCAAATAAATATCCAAATAGATATCCAAATAGATATCCAAATAAATATCCAAATAGATATCCAAATAGATATCCAAATAAATATCCAAATAGATATCCAAATAAATATCCAAATAGATATCCAAATAGATATCCAAATAGATATCCAAATAAATATCCAAATAGATATCCAAATAAATATCGAAATAAAAATCCAAATAAATATCCAAATAAATATCCAAATAAATATCTAAATAAATATCCAAGTAGATATCCAAGTAGATATCCAAATAGCTAACCAAGTAGATAACCAAATAGCTAACCAAGTAGATAACCAAATAGCTAACCAAGTAGATAACCAAGTAATAACCAAGTAGATAACCAAGTAGATATCCTAACACATCGCAATTCACGAAATGATTTTTGGTGATTATTTTGTTTTTCGTTTTTCAAACCTATTTAAAAGTTTTATGCCTGATTTGAACACATCTCTTTCAATGCCCTGATTTGAACATAGCAAAGTAAACGCATCGATGCAGACGCGTTGTGAGGGAGGGTGTCACCAGGTCTGATCCGCTATTAGTGTGACCGTAGACAACACCCCTTTCCAAAATTTAACTTTAAAAAAAAAAAATAGCGTTAGCTTATTTATTTTTTTAAAAAAGATATATACAAATTGCCTTCACGAATTGGTTGTACACGACTGTACAATGTGGGCACATATCCTTTTCTTTCTAAATTTCTAACATTTTCTATATCCCCCAAGATACTTGTTATCCGGAGCAGTTAAACACCCCCTCACAGCATCTGAGCGCCGTTACTGCTGTGACATGTTTATATTCTCGCCAGGTTGAGTCTAACCATTGTGGTGTTTCCTAGATACTAATTCCCGTGAAGTAGTTAGAAACTACACTGTACTGAATATTGTTGACATGCATATTTTATGTGACTTACTCATTTTATTTTTTTTTTATCTTTCAACTTTTTTGTCAAGTGTATTTTTTTTTTATATGTCACGACCGTTGTGTCAAGTGACTGAAAGACAGAGATTGATGTATCGACAACACGGAATGAATGAAAGAAAGATTAAGTCTACTGTAAATAAATATATCATCGTTGAGATGTTTTCTGTGTGTGTGTGTTTACAGTGAACATTCTTTGAACTTTTAATTGAATGTCTAAACCTATTTTACCCTTATAACTAATGTATTCAACTTTTTATTTAATGTACGTTCACTGACACTAACTCTGAGTCTTGATGGCTGCTAGGATGTAATCATTTTCACTTCTGAAGGAACAAATGAAGCATGTCAAACAAAGAAACACAAGTGAACATTTATTTGTGAACATTTATTTGTGAACATTTATTTGTGAACATTTATTTGTGAACATTTATTTGTGAACATTTATTTGTGAACATTTATAAATATTTATTCATTCGTCCCCATCAGATGATTTTGTTTCAAAGTTATTTGAACTCGTGTTGGAGTGCATTGAAGACAGCGAGGGCTATCCAGTGTTGTCATAGTTCAATACTGAATCTTGTATTCGGTTAATTACATTAGTTATATATTGTAGACTTTTCAACACGAAATAGTTCTGCAGTCATTTTCTTTCACGCTAAGTGATGACTGCTTAACCTACGTGTAGTCAACAGTCAGCGAGACAGCTCGCTATTGTATTGGGTAAGTTGAAATCTACTCTCTAGTTTTTTATTTTGTGTCTTATTTTTTTTATGCTTCAATTTTCATGTTCTATTTATAATTTGAATTAATCATTTTATCTTGTACCTAGTACCACGTGGTCACGAATTGTCAATTAATGAAGCGAGTTCAATTCTTCACATTCGAACTGAGTTAATCAGATTTTATTCTGTTTTCAACGACTTCAATTGTGTTACCAAAAAACCATTGAAATATAAATTTTTGATTCGGAATCCATAATTATGACACTTTTAACAGAAGGCGAAGAAATTTTTTTTTAAAAAGTTGTTACCTAACATTAATGTTGTATTTCCGCTTGACAAATGAGTTGCCAAAAAAAAAAAGTTGTTACCTTACACTAATATTGTATTTCGGCTTGACAAATGAAGCCTTGAAGAGAAAATGACAACAAGGTCCAAGGTGTTGTTTCCGAAGTTAGCGCATTATGGAACAGAATGAACACATGAAGAATGTGTTGATGGCTTATTCCGAGTGCTAGGTGTAAGATGCCCAATCTGGGACTGTAAAAGTTTGTGCTGATCAGAAGATTGTTTCTGTACGAGTAGCATTACTCGTGAGTTCGTATCAACAGACTTACAGAACAAGACTTTTACATTAATTAAATCAACAGGTGTAGATCAAATAGTATCACTATATAAGTCACTATAACAAAAGATGTTGCTTCTATCAAAGCCTAGCATTAACTGTCTGTTTATCTATATCTAACGTGCAGTCTCCCTTTTAATTAATGTTGTCACAATTGCGCGTTCACTAGCAGTCACCTAAAGTGTGTCTCTCCGTAGGACAAATTCTTACGAGTTCCCTTTCTGCTCTTGCGCTATTAGAGAATGAAACAGTTTGCTTGAATCAACCAAGAAAACTAATGACATAGCAGAGTTTATCTATCTATCTAAAAGACCTCATCCACCAATCACAAACAAAAAACATAGAGTCACGTGCTTCTCTATCTCGTCGATACAAATTACGATCTAATTTTAATCAACAATGGTTAACAAGTGAGTTTTTTTTCCTCGTATTCTATCAATATTATCACGTGACCGTTCGTTTTGGTGAATGACACTTGGATAAGTTTGCAATGTAATTGTTTTGTGAAGGGGAGACATAAGCCTACATATGTATAGCCATTAGTGAACTACTATTCAAGACAGATTTCCCCAAGAAGATCCCAATGTATAATGCAAGCATTTTGTTAACTATGTTTTTATTTAGAGCTTAGATCTTTCAAGTGAAGAACAAGATGATAAGAGTGATTCAGTTTAAAAAGAGTTAAGATAAAAAAAAAATTGCAAAAAAAAAAAGTGTCACGGTAGAATTGAAGTTCTACCTACAAATTGTCACATAAATGATGAATATCATCAGGAAATAAAATTTGGCTGATGAAGCCTCAAAGATTGGATTTAATGTTTTCCTTTGTTTGTTTTCAGTAGAGAAGAAACGTAAGACAGCAAGAGAGGCGGAAACAACGTTAGACAGACAGATAGACAGACAGATAGATAGACAGACAGATAGACAGACGGATAGACAGACAGACAGATAGACAGACAGACAGATAGACAGACAGATAGATAGACAGACAGATAGACAGATAGATAGACAGATAGATAGACAGACAGATAGACAGACAGATAGACAGACAGATAGACAGACAGATAGACAGACAGACAGATAGACAGACAGATAGACAGACAGATAGACAGACAGATAGACAGACAGATAGACAGACAGATAGACAGACAGATAGATGCTTGGGTTTATGTAATTAAGCACTACATTAGATCCACATAAAGATAGAGCTTAAAGGAAGGGTCACGGATTGCAGATGCCATACACAACACAAGCAGAAAGAAGGGTGAAAATGCAACGGCGCCTGGTGATTATATATGCCCAACCTGCGATCGCAGCTGTGTACCAAGGATTGGCCTCTTTAGCCACACAAGAAGTTGCAAAGGGAAAAGATCGTCTCTCGAGAGGTAAAATACCACAGACATTAGGGAAAAGAAATTAATTTTTGGAAAATGTATTTAAATTTACATTAAAATAGACACTACAAATAATATACCAGAAAGAACTGTATTTTCTTTTAAGGTTGTCTCTTTCTGACACCAATTTTTTTACTAGTTCGTGATTTGGAAATCTGGTTAATACATTGTTCATTGTGCAGCCAATGAGAGCATGAGATTTAAAATATAACTTAATACAAGAGATCAACACAACACTATAGATTAGGTCAAATATTTATTACAATTAATAAAATCAGGTCAAGAAATTACAAGGGTGAGTGACAACAAATAATAAGACAAGACCTCGAGTACAAGTATACCAATGGGCAAAGAGAATTGAAAACTTTAAACATTACTTTCAAAGTTTGAGATCCCTTGTCATGCTACAGAATTTTTTGACAGATTTGTTTTAATGTCTATGAAGAAATTTGTCAAATTTCCAGAACTCATGTAGATCAAAGCTGAGAACTCTCGAAATTAGTGTAGGTATATCGATGGGAGTTATCGAGAGTATTAATTTAACGTTAGGTCAAATCTGAGATGTCCTGGATTTAGTGTAGGTAGATCGATGGAATTTATCGAGAATTAAATTTGGGTTAGGGTTAGGTAAGTTAAATCAATGCTGAGATGTCCTAAATTTATAGTGAAGTTAGAAAAAAAAATGCTGAGAGCTCTAGAATTCAATCTGAAGTTAGATCAGTGTTCTGTTCCCATGAATCTAATTTGGTGTTAGATCAAAGCTGTATTTGTGTTTAATCGCTGAATTCTTGTGAATCTAATGTGAAGTTAGATATCAATGCTGAATTCGCAAAAATTGTGTTTATCTAGGGACAAGGGCCTTGGATAACTTGCTTGGAAGGTTCTCAGAGTGTCGACTTTCTTACCACAAACCACGTTGTCTGACCAATACAGTATTGCACTTTTTGTATTTTCTCCCTCTGTGAAGTAATCATGCAGATTCAACATCTTGAATATGAATCTCCAGGAAGGTTTTGAAAATTGTGCTCAAGTATTAGAGAACACAAGAGAGAACGGAAGCAGTTTAACTCTCTATTTTTATTTTTGGCTTTAATGCAATTATTTATTTCTTGGAACCTCAGTGTATCTATTAGTTTCTGTTAAGTATAAACTATGCAGAAAATCATTTTTAAAAAGTATAATCGAAAATAGACAATTGCACTTTTCAAAAGCCACGTCTCGACTGAATATTGTTATTACAGTTATAGGTTAGCCCTGACAGCCTTCAAGTTTTGACATGAAGTGGTCGTAACCATTAAGTAATAATAAGAGTTTAATCTTATTTAGTTTTTAATGTTTGGGTTTCGTTTTCTGTTATTTTTTGTTTGTTTGTTTGTTACTGAACGTTTGTAAACTAAGAAAGAGCAGCACAGCATCTTTAGGTTCAAAGGTCGTTAAGTTTAAACTTGTGGCGTTTTTAACCTATATTAAAGGCTAGCCCGTTGTTGACCTTTTGCACAAAAAAAAATAGTAGTTCTATTACAATCTTTGTAAAGCACAAAACACGCGGGAAAGTTCATTCCTTCATCCACCATCCTCACATTAATGGCATATGGGTGTATTATTTCCGGTCAGACTTATTAATAAATCTACTGTGTAGGTGATATATTGTAATTATTTTAAATGCAACTATCATCCATCCGATTCCATCGGTACTAAGTCTGGACATTGGTGTGCTTTGAAGCGAATTTAAATGCAGAAGGACTGGTAATTTGTTGACTAAACTCTTGACCACTGGCTAGTGTCCTACATTTCAACTGGAATTCTGGGAAAACAAAGCAATTGAATCGTCCTGCTTTTTTTGTTAATATTGTTTAGAAGTTTTGTAGAATTTAGTTTCTTTCAGAATCTGTTTGGAAAGGTCGAAAGAGACCTTTTGCTGATGACGATGATGTCGATGGTGAGTTCACAGCCTTCTTTGCCACTGGAGCGTGTATCGGTGAGCTGACCCTGCGAAGGTTAGCAGGGCTGAGTCCAGGCTGGTGATTGGAGGACATCGTGTTGGGCGAGTGAGGAAATGGCGAGCTCTGATTGGACGAAGCTGATGCAGCAGCGGCCAATCGAACAGAGTCGAGGGATGAGAGAAAGTGAGGTGACGTCAGGTGCGTTGACGTCAGAGCCGAAGAGGCGTGCGCAGCCAAAAGAGACATGGCCGTCGGGTCCAGCGGCGACCTCAAAAGGGGGCTGGAGGTGTGAGGGAAATTCGGGTGGGGACTCCCGTGAGGTGCGCCTATGCCGAAAGCCCCGACTCCGTTTTGGCGAAGGTAGGAACCGAGAAAGTCACTCGGCGACACGGGGGCCGGCCTAACTGTCGAAGACATCGGCAGGTGCGACGAGGGAGAAAATGGCTGGGGCGTTTGTGACAGAGGAACTCCTGGGGGTGTATAACAGCCATGTGGTGATGGAGGTATCCCGTAAGGATAAGACGCTGCAGCTGCAGCAAGATAAGCGTACAGGTGAGGATCAGCTATTCCGTACGGCCAAGCCATAGCCATTCGCTGCCTTTTGTCTTTCATACGACGATTTTGAAACCAGACCTGCAAACAAACAAAATAAATATTGGAAGTGGAATTCTTACTCCTTCTTATAGACTATAAAAGATATAAAGAATGGAATCTATACACATTTTTAAATTCTCTTTTCTCTCTAATGGTCAAAAGAATAATGACAGGATACTGACAAGGTTACTTAGATGGCAGCCTGGAAAAGTATTTTTTTTTTTACCAATTTATGAAAACCCTTTTCTGTTAAATGAATTCAGCGTTTAGATGAATTGCAAACTATTCTAAATTTAATTCACGTATTTGTTAAATGTTTTCACAAAAATGTACCCTGTATGTATCTAAAAAGAAAAGATTTTTGGTAACGTGTTAACAAAAATACTTTTTTGAATCTATAATGTAAGGCAACCAGTTCAATATCCTCCTGATAATTAGTGAGAAGAGTGGGCGTTAATAATGGACGTTACTAATGGACGTTAATAGTGGACGTTGGGGTCAGGTGGTACCTGGGAGAAGGGTTTTGCTGTATTGAGGCGCTCAGTAAATACGACGCAGCTGGAATAAAAAAAAAAAATATACTAAGAACTACTATAAACTATGACTATTTGATTATTAGTACTCTTGGTTACACTGTCTGGGGCATGAAATGCAGGGAAAAATGAAGGTGACGAAAAACATTGAAAAACGGGACTAGTGAATTTTGCCCCTATGGAGTGTCACCAAAGAAAACAGATCCTTACTCTCCAAAGCTGCATACTACATAGAGAAACCCGAGACACTGGCCACAGACCACTAATATATAAGAAAAACTATATAGAGAGCTGCCTGGTCTAAAAACCGCTGCGCAATTTATCTCATCTATAGGACTAGTTATATAAACCTCCAACATAAAACGGAGAACTTAAAAAAAGAGAACTGCCTCTTAAAGATTCTGCCCTTAATTCGACCTCACACCTTGCTAAAGACCGTGTGTCTCTTTCATCCATGACACCTCCTTTGTAAACAAACACAAAATAATAACACCAAAGTATAGTAAAAATAATTTACCTTGATAGTAGCCTCGGGTAGATTCAATGATACAGCCAACTCACACCTCTTTGGCCGGGACACGTAATTCTCTTTCAGGAATTCTTTCTCCAGACGACCGATCTGTTCCCGAGTGAATGCAGTTCGGTAACGACGAACCTGATTATCATCCAGCGAGGAATCTGTTGAAACGAAAACAGAAGAGAGAATATGTGAGTTGATTAAATCGTTGGCCTAGATAAGTACAGGTTTCATTAATGTGTATGTCAGTATTTTTAAAAATAAAGTAAAATTGATTTTGAATTTTTATGAAAATGTGTCTTTTTTTAAACAATATTAAAAATACCATTGTCTACTGAGTCTAGCTCAAGCAATATTATGTAACTATATTACAATCACTGGCAATTTTTCTATCTTGTTCTCTCTCTGTCTCTGTCTCTGTCTCTGTCTCTCTCTCTCTCTCTCTCTCTCTCTCTCTAACCAACGAAAATGTTTCGCTCAAAATAGTGTGTTCTCACATTGAAGTTCAAAATGTTTTTTATTTTAAACATTAAGGATTTAAACCTAAACCTTTCGGGTCGAATATAGAAATGTCTTTTAAAATATTTATTGATGAATTGACTAAGTATCAAATGTAACATTGATAACATTTGTAGCGATATTAAAATTTCATATTAACCTTCTGACCACATAATTTTAAAAAAAAAAAACGGCTGGTATCTCTGGAGTTAAAGAATTTAACATTGGATGGTTTATATTTACTAGGGAGGCAATTCGTGGTATCGGTGAACTGATCAAAACTAGTTTATTGTGTCTACTTTTGTAAATCTACTATCCATTCATCCCAATGGC